TGACAGTCCTAATGAATTTAGAGCTCACAAACAAACTTTTGACAACTAATATGCAACGTTCGCCCCAAACAATGCCTTTTCTCTCTCGGACTGAATATCTGCACATACTTTGTTCTTGCCACAAGTGCTGTGTTAAAACATTAATGCCAATATATTAGCATTTCATAAAGTGCAATAAAAGCTAATTCAGTCACCAGGGCTTAGCTTGCCTTGGACTTTCTAAACTAATGTGAGTCATTTGGTGCCATCTTGTGGTGACTGGTGGTTTCAAAGACACATACTTAAAGGGCCCATGTCATGGCCATTTCTACTGATCATAATTCCATTGTTGAGGTCTACTAGAATAGATTTATACTGTGCAATTTTCCAAACTCACATTGGTTTCTCATACAGCATCTCTGTAAAGTATGTGTATTCACCGGTATTCACTCTCTGTCCTAAACGGCTTGTTGGAGCTCCTGCCCCCCCCCGGTCGGCGATACAGCGAGAACAAGCGAAACTCATCCTGAGCACACACAAACACTCACAGCCGAAGTAAAAACAATAAGTGTGGCTTGATATTGAGTAAGAAAAAGGTTTATAACGCTGTGAGAATGGGTCTGCGGAGAGCATTTCTCCGCGATCCCAACTTAGTAGCCCGAAAAACGTTTACCCATTTAAACAGTCGTGGTAGATACCTTTTTTTGTTTTAAACATCATAAATACACAAACAACAATGAATACTTACAGGTTGTGTACCCAAATCTCCCGCTGGTCCAAACAAAGTAGGAACAGCATCGTTCTTCAGTGCCCTACGCTGTACATATCCGGCATGAATCGCTGAAAGGTTTGTGAAGCTTTGTTTCGTGAAATGCTGGCAGAGGGTGTGGCCTCTGGGTATTCACACGTCACAGTACCCAGGAAGTAAACAATGGAAAATGAGAAATCTCCAACGAGGCGTTTTGGGGCAGCATAGACTGTGTTAGAGTTTTACTCGCTACAGGGTGTACTTTGAGGGTTTTTGACTCTGCAGACCATTTACATGCATAAAAACCTTCATAATAACACACAAGGGGACGGGTAATAACCGGAAAAGCATGACATGGGCCCTTTAATATACATGTGTATCCAAGGACGGCCCTGACCTGTTTGCTGCCTAGGCGATATTTAAGCTAGATATTTTTGTATAACTATATTAAATAGATAAAGGTGTATTTTACTTGTTTACTTTAATGGTGACCAAAACGTTTGAGACCCACAGAGATAACTTAGACTAAAGTTAACTATCTAAACACTCAGAGAGTCTTTTACCTCACCTGAGCTGAGGTTATCAGAGGAGAGTATCTCCTCCACATTGTTCTAGAAACAGCTTCTTGTATCCGTTAGCGCAGCTAGCTAGCACTAGAAGCTAACAACAACATTCACCGCAACCCGTGGCGTCTGTCGTTTTCCAACCCAGTTTAGATTTGACCACACCCACTTCCGCATTAACGTAACTCTGCGTGACCGCGTCATTGAAGTATAAAGAGAACGTCCCAATGTTAACAAAGCTGAAGTAAAATCTACTCTAGCTTGGAACAAAACTATATGGATTGTCAATCAGTCAGTAAAAGTGAAAAACCCTTCAGCAGTATGCAGCAAGAGGTACACGTTGTATCCTCTTGACAGTGTTGGAGAGTAACAAAGTACATGTACTTAAATACTGTACCTCACAAAAAATGAAATACAAGCTATTAAGCTACATATTGGTTTCTAGTTTATTCTTTTTTAATTAATTAGTTACATTTTATTTTATAGAAAATCATTTGAAAAAAATATATACACTTTTCCACCAGGGAAGAATCAATTCCTCCTTCTATTTAGCATACCTAAAAGGGGATTTGAACCCACATTGATTCCACACTCTACATTGTCAGTTAGTGTCTTTGCCACCATCCTGTCCCAAGTCAGACAGACTAAGATACAGAGAAATAAACTACATTTCAGCTGATGTAAGTCAATTCACAAGTAAGAAACATCTGCTTAAAGTGGGATTTGAACCTATAACCTTCAGACTGCAAAGCACTTTCTCTTCCAGACCAGCTATGAGAAGACAGAAGAAGACTGTGACACCTTGAACATGTTTCAGTTCGGAGTTCCCTTAACAAGTGAAAAGTAAAGCATGAAACATAGAGCCTTCTGGTAGCTCATGTTGTAGTGAAACAGCTTTGCAGTTCATATCCCACCTGAACCCCAGCTGAGTTTTTCTTCATGTCAACTCTAAAAGGACTGTTTCAGTAGGTGTCTCTAATTGTGGACAACCTGTCTAAAATCTTTTAGGATGTAGAGGAGAAAACATTTTTAAACAACTCTTCTAACTTGTGATCTTACATATCTCAGCTCAAATGTAGGTCCTTCCTCTCTCTGGCTCTCTGGCTCTCTGCACCCCTGCAGCTGGGATGGTGCAGTGGCAGGGACCGACAGCGCTGAGAGGACACGATGCAGGTTCAAGAACTGCCGCAGGTATGCCACACAAGAATGAGTGTGTGAATTAACTGTGCAAGGTTTCAAGGGTCTGCTTCAAATAACAAATACAGGGGAAACAATGTCGTCAAACAAACTTGCGTATTTCCGAATTTCAACTTGCGAATTTCCGTATTTCCACTTGCGAATTTTCATCATCGAATTTCTGAATTTCAACGTGGGAACTTGCGAATTTCAACTTGCGTATTTCCAATTTCAACGTGGGAACTTGAGCATTTCTGAATTTCCATCATTGACTTTAAACTTGCTAATTTCTGAATTTCAACGTGGGAAGTTACGAATTTCTGTTTTCCACCATCAAATTTAAACAGTAGCCTAATTTTATTATTTATTTGAACATGATTTTTTTTTCACTTGTGAAGAGACTCTTTGTAATTACTACAAGGTAACATTTACATTTAAATATTGTGTTGCTCATTTAAAGGAATTTGGTTAAAGTACAATGCAGGAGTCAATTACAGAGGCTACTTATTTATATTTATTTATTGATTTATGGAACAGTGATTTAAATTACACGGTTAGGGAACATTTGGGATTGACTAATTGCTTTTAGGTTAAATGCATTTGAAAAAAGCAACGTTCTTTTTTATACAATGTTCATGAATAGACAAGTGAAGTGGAGAACTAATGTAAAGGTTCTAATGTCACTTTATTTCATACACAGATCAAGACTGACATCTGCTGGCCAAACCCTCAGTCTACACTACTGTTTCTCATCCAACAAACATGGGCATACCTCATCCACTCATTTGTGTATGGATTAAACAAACTAGAACTCCAAGCTTATTTTTGAAGCAAATAACCCACAAGTTTGTATTTAATAGGCAGATATGAAACGGTTATCTATTAACATACTTTTGGCAATAAATAGTTTTAGTTTGAGATACTTGGAGGCTCCAGTTGTTAAACCTAACTTTATGTCCAGCAGCTCTGGTAGTCTGTTTTAAACATCCTTTTGTGATCTTCTCTGGTCTCAAGTAAAGAACCTACTGTTGCATACTTTTGTCCACTAACCTAGAACAGAAAAAAATGCAAAAAAACACATGCTACAAGCTGCAAGTTCAAACTCACAAATGTGCAAGTTCCCAAATTAAAAATGTGCTGATGGAAACGCATAAATGTGCAAGTTGAAATGCAGAAATTTGGCAAGTTAAAATTCAGAAATCCCAAGTCGAATTCTATATTAGTTAGTTATTTGAGTCTGACCAATGAAACCACCCTCAGTATTGATAGCAGACACTAATTTTTGCATAATGACAACAGAGACACATTTTAGTGTGCCATACCTTCGGCTGGGATTGAACACGCATTGTTTCCTCTCAGCGCTGATGTTCTGTATCCCTGCCACTGCACCATCTCTCCCTCAGGTGAACAAGGACAACAACAGAGAGAAAGAAGCTTAATTTCACCTGAGATATAGATATTCAAAAATTCCAAGTTGTATATAGAACCAGGTTTAAAGTTTTCAGTGTGTTTATTCAGCAGCCCAATGAAAGCATAAACATATTGATTGAAATACTAATTTTAGTGAGTGATGCCAGTCAGTGTCATTGCCACTACACCATCCCCACAACAGGTTGATTCCTAACCAGAGATGAAAACCAACTTAACTTCAGCTGAGATTCATTTCACAAGTTAAACATTGATACAACATTTGTACATGTTTGATTGAGCACATTATTTGAAATGACAACATATTGATCACAATAATTGTTTTTTTTGAGTGATGCAGCTGAGGTGAGGATTGAATCCACACTGATTCAACTTTGCAATGCGAAACAGAGTCACTACCACTGAACCATCCTAACCACAGGATTAACACAGACAACACTATGCTACATTTCTGCTGACACAAGTCCTTATTGATTTGTAGCCACAACATTCAGACTGCAAAGCTCTTACAAAGAAGAAGAAGAGTTTGTGTTTTTACATGCTTCAGTTTTCACTCATTAAGAATTGTTCAAAGTTGTTCATATGTTGGAATTTGGTTCAGGTACTATGCAGGTTAGGGAGCCTATTAAAAAAGAACTAAAAGATTAATTAAATGTGCTGCTGTAGAAGAATAAACATCAGCTACTTGCATCTTGGCAACCTAAAAGCTAGTAAAATAGCCTACTATTTTTTAAAGTTTCATTTAGGGTCTATATTTAAAAAGAAACGACCTTTATGATGTGATTTTTATTGGAAAAAATGTGTGTAGAATTAATTGAAGTCGTACGTTTTTTTTTTTTTTGCACAGAACAAGACTGCCATCTGCTGTCCAAAACATAGACTACTGTGTCTCATACAGCAAACACACACATTTGAGACTTACAGAGTAAAAAGCACGTCATTGTAGCTTAACTCAAATCAAGACTGCAGAAGAAAGTTGTTCAAGTTGTTTTAAAAAACAAAAACTCATTACGTGTGAGGAACTCTTACCAGAGCTGAATGTGACACCCCTCTCTCGGCCCATTGGTTCAGTCCAGTGGCCTCGAACCCGGAAGCAGTAGTCAATATTTACATTGCTGTCAGCTGACTTTTTTTCACCTGACTGCAATTTACAAAAACTATACAGACTTTTTTTATATTGTAGCTGTTATGTATCACCATTTAATTAACATATAGGCTATGTTAATGACTGATATGTAACTCTTTCGTTTTCACCCTTAGTAGCTAGTTCGCTTATCATTTGGAACACTTAACAAAGTGGTTAGCATTTAGCTGGTGGAGCTAGCTGCTAAACAAGAGACACAGCTTTGATTTGACACCTTACATTAACGTGTCTCAAAAATGGATAAGATTGCTAAAGGTGAGTGAATTTCACAGCAGAAAAATACTTATCATTGTCTGCATGTAAGCGTGGTTTCTTCAGCTTACTGCCATTAACGTTGGTGAATTGGTGATAGACATCAGGAATGGTTTCCTTTTATGGTGTACAAACATGTTGAATAATAAATATGCAAAACTTTATTTGAATTAGAATATAATGATAAGAATATACCCTTCAATTACTGGTATAATGTGTTTAATTTTACATCATAATTGATAAAAAAAAAAACTTATAAACAAGTTTAGACCTTATAATTTGCAACTGTCTTCATCATTCAAATTGTTAATTTTAGAGAAAAATGTTTTTAAATTAGCCATTCACAGTTTCATTGCACCAACTGTGTGCAAAATGTCTGCATGTTAAAAAAGATGACGCTAATGTGTATTGTTTTTTTAAATCCTGTGTGTCCTACTGTATATGCTTAAATTAAATTAATCCGAGCTGTTTTGGTGCTGCAGATGTAGGGGACATCCAGTCCCGGCTGTTGGACCACCGCCCGGTCATCAATGCAGAGATTCGCTACTTTGTGAGAGAGTTTGAGGTACTGGTCATGTCACAAAATATATGTGTTATTCATAAAGCTGCAGGCAAAAAAATATCATTAGACCCACCACATCAGAACGTCAAATATGAACAGAGGTATGGCCTTACAGAAAAATAAATTGTCGGTGGGCAGGGGACACAATATACTGGCACTAATATGACACATTATGTTTAAACATGAATCACAGTAAGTATACAGTACATCTGTATTTACCTTAAATATGAGCAATTTAATCAAGAACTGCATTTTATTTTCCAATTAAGAGGATTACCTGGTGAATAGACAATAAATGGATACACATTTCTTACACATGTAATGTAATGCAAAATGTTAATGTTATTATGTATGGCTAACACTTTCCTCTGTTGTTTCTTAGGAGAAGCGTGGACACAGGGAGAGCAGACTGCTGGAGAACCTCAATAAAATAGTTACGGAAACAAATGAGCAGATGCTGCCTACAGATCTGGAGGGCATACTGTCCAATGTGTTTACGCGGTGTGAGTCTCATCTCTCAGATTCACACTTCATCTTGTAAATTGTGCTAACATTGTGTCAATTGAATGACTCAGCTGACTTATAATCATCCAATCTGTTCTATTTCATATTTAACTTCATATATTTGGGTTTTGGACTGACATGACAAGACATTTAAACACATCTCTTTGGACTTTGAGAAATTTGGATGGATACATTTTCTGACAATTCTAGAAAAAACAATCAACGATTAATGTAGATAAATATGCAGATTATAATGACTATAATGAAAATATGTGTTAGCTTAAGCCACAGGGCAGAGAGATACTCAGTTAAAATGATGTTAACTTGCAAATGAATAGTTTAATGTAATGGTAATTAATTGTTTTGAATCCCTCTGACACAAGAAACCTTCTTAGACAATCACAATAAACACATTTCAATATATACATATATATGTTGTTTAGAGTTAGAGTAAATGACAATGTGGAATATAAATATTAAAATACTTGTTTGCTTTTATTCCACAGTGGATGCTGCAAATCACATGGCGGAGAGAGTCCAGCAGAGGGAGCTAGAGGCCCAGCAGGTAAAAACAACTCCAGGCAAAAGAATCATAGCAGGTGTTCACATTTACATAGCCATGAAGAATAGATTGGATTGAAGATTCCCACCACATTTATGATATTGTGTTCTCTGTGATTGCACCTGTAGGCGACACAGAGCCCCATACACTGCCTGACGTTATTCAGCATATACAGAGATATAAAAGAAGGGCAATTTAGCTAAACATCATTAACTCTCCTCTTCTTTTTCCCTTCCAGAGCACCCAGCTGCAGGGGAGCATGGAGCGTCTGAAGGAGGAGTGGGCAGAGTTTCTGAAGGAGCAGCAGAGATTAAAGGAGGAGGTGGACGAGGAGCACGCCAAGGCAGTCGGACAACTGAGCACCTCGTACAACGAAAAGAAGAAGGACTTGACCAAGTTCTCACCTCACTAATCAGTTCACTCTTTTATTCCATGCTGGTGTTTGTTATGGACGTCTGTTCTGCACGTGCTAAGAACTATCGGCTTTGATTGATGAACCTGTTGGTTGGCATAACATTTGGAGGTTTTGCTCCTGCACAAGACTCAACATTTTCCAAATCGTAAATATGAAAGTGTGATTAACAATGTAGCATTTCACAGGCCATCAAACTTGCACATTTCTGTCTGTAGCACATGGAATTTTCACGGCACCTAAAAGGTCTGGAATATGTCATTTTTAAACAAGCAATCATTTGATTGTTCCTTGGCCGTGAAGTTTTCAACATTTCAAGATTTTTAATGGATGCCCGTCTGAAGGGTGCTGATGATACATTTGCGTAGGCCTCAAGTTAAAAGGAACCTGGAGTTTGGCACCAAGGTGAGATATTGTAGGCACTGGAAGCCAGATAATTAAATGTTAGAACAGTCTTTCTGAGCAGGTGTGTTTAAAGCACAGGTTAAGTGTTGTAGAAACGTTCTCAAACAAAACTGTTTCCAGAACAAATCATCCCTCACATGCTCTCCCATGTTTCAAACACTTCACCTCTGACATGAGCTTCATGTAAACCAACTGTCTATGAAGTAACTTTTATAATAAAGCTATTTTGATGATCAGAAGCAGCTGTTTGTTGTTTGTTTAGCCAGCTCAAATCCGATTTGAATTAATCACATAACACATGTTTGTATGGCTGTTGCAACTAAAAGATAATAAACTATTTTTTATTTTCTTCTGGTTGTAATTTCTTGCTGTTCATGTCAACAATACAAAGAGTGCTTCACAAAATAATAAGTAAAAAAACAAATAAAAACGTTTTGTTTATCGGATGAATTGCACACAGGCATGTTTCACAGCGGAAAGTCAACATAATTCTCAATTCCTCTATTTTTGTAACAGAGACAAGGGGATGGAAATTCTGTTTCTCACCATCCCAGAGAATATGAATATTTAAAAAGAAATATATACATGTGTATATATACATACATACATACAAGCCTTTACACCCACATTAATATATATATATTGTTGTCACGGTTATGCAGCAAACACAATAATGTATTAAAGTTGTAATATGAAATTGTCTGCGGGGGTCTTGACTCTGACACTCAGAGCCTCTGAGGGTCTTCACAGCACTTTTAATGAAGTGTTTTGTTTCCTCCAGACAATGGAGGGTTGTTGGACAGGTTAATGGATGGGTGGGCACACTGGGCACATTCCTGGCATGGCTGACAGCAGAGTTCATCTCAGGAAATGTAATAGAACAAATATTTTAGATCCCCCCCCCCCCTCCTCCACATCTCTACCGCACAATTGTTTAGCCTCAGCTGTCCAAAGTCTCATCTGGAGAAGGGGGCTTGGATTCCACCTCATCCATCAGATTAAGTTAAACAGAGTTTCTTTAACAAAACAAGAATAAAACAAAACAAGCCCGGCAGTGGAGTCCCTCCATCGTGTGTCACAGAGATGAAGTCAACTCAGTTCTGTATCCCCTTTCACAGAAGCTGCAGCTTTTTTCCATTTGGCAAGCAATGACCCCCCCTCCCCCCCTGCTCTCGTGCAAAACCACCCTGGGGTTGCTCTGCCTGTGTCTATGCATACATATAAATGTGTGTGTGTATGTGTGTGTGAGAGAGAGAGAGAGAGAGAGAGAGAGTCGGTGATGGCTGGCGTCAGAGATCAGAGAGGGCACGGACATGCCAGCAGATGTACGTCTGCCTGCCTGCCTGCGTGTGTGCGTGTGCGTGTGCGTGTGTGTGTGTGTGTGTGTGCGTGCGTGTGTGTGTGTGTGTGTGTGTGTGTGTGTGTGTGTGTGTGTGTGTGTGTGTGTGTGTGTGTGTGTGTGTGTGTGTGTGTGTGTGTGTGTGTGTGTGTGCATGCCTTTCCTCTGCCTCGGTGACTGCAGCTGTCCAGCTTGGAGACAGCCCATCATCAGCTAACGAGGAGCGACAATACGGAAACATGGCCCACCTCTGCCAGCAGGGCACCTTTTCATCTGCCCTTGTTTATTTTTTGGGTTTCATTGGAAAGAAAGACAAACAGTCAGAGTACACGAAAGGTCACCGTTAAAGTCATATGAGTGTTAGCTATTCATGAGCAGAGTCATACGCTTAAAGTACTTGTTGGGCCTGATAAATACATGGTTTATACTTTTGTAAAGTGATTTGTAAATAACGGCGCACATAAAACTGTTTTCTTCCAGGATTTTCTCCTACAATAGGAGCTCATTTCTGTGGTAGATGCCAGGAAGGTTCCTTGCTCGGTTGAAATCCATAACATCTGAAATGACCTGCCTAAAGCTGCCTTTTGCAATTTCGAATGGCAAAACAGAACCACTGCTGAAAATAGAAACATGTGCTTTGACAATTTAAATTGACAAAAAAATCTGGTATCTAGATCAACGTTTGTTGTTATCAAGGGATTGCAACAACAACAACAGATTTCTACATTTAGAGGAACTGTGGTTCTAAGTTAAAATCCAGGAATCTCCACACCTGGACAAGTTATTGTTGATTTATAAGGTTGTTAATCAATAACTTATCAATGCTGTATTTAGTGGTAAAGAAAAACTGTAACATTAGGAACTATCTCGACGACGCCATGTGCAGAGAAGGGTTTGTACACCGGCTAAAATCTCCTGTTATCATCTTCCTCAGCTTTCTGCCTCAAGCCTCTGGACCCTCGTTGGTTTGTTTTTTGTCTCCAGTGAGCATCAGAGAGCAGTGTGCTCTTCCTGTTTTGAAGAGAGAGCGGTGCTCCCGGGCCATGGAGCTGCCGTTCCCTGTGCCAACACAAATGGTAAAGGAAACAGCAGCACCCAGCTGGAGCTCCACCAGGCAGCGAATGGAGATAAGGGGTGTGTTGGTTAATGCAATCTGAAGCTCTGTCTGAATATCGCTCCATATCCACTGGAAAAGAATGAAGTGAATCACAGTAGATCACAGAAAAAAACTGTATAATCAGCCCACACTTTGCTCAGCACTACCTTCAAGCAGGCCTTCTGACTTCTGCTTGCAACAGTGACCAAAATGCATCATGGCAATACAACTATATTTGACATTATTTGCATCAGTATATTAAAAATATAAATATTTGAGCTGTGTTTTACACATTATGTCAACCCAACCAAAAATATGTAGTTTTTGGATAGGAATACACTCAATACACTGTACAGGTAATTCATGTAGATACAGATACAAAAATCACCCCATTTTAAAATCATAAATGAATTATGTGCAAACTCAATATGAACACTTTACTGCAAATGTTGGCCTTATGATTTGACGACTTTCTGACAGGAAGTACTGCATATTATAAGCCTAAAGCTTCATAAAGATACACTTCATTGCAGTAAAATATGCTGGGTTCACATGTTCACTTCTTGTATAGATCATGACAAAGACCATTCGATGTATCACATTTTCAAACCTGTGAAAAAAGGCACAATGTACACTTTTATGAGCACTAGACAGGTTAAACACAGCTAAATATACGGCTTGATATTTAAATAGCCTATATGTCCACTTTACTGCTGTACTGTTTGAAAATTGTGAAATATCATTATTATCTCCTTGAATAAATACAATTCACATGACCTTAGAGGACTGCTACACTTTCTACAAAGCTGACAGCTAACTTGGCGTTAATAAAAGTGTTCTTTTTGGTGAGATCGCCTTTTCATTTCAGTCGAGTGGTGAGAAAAAGCAGGTCCAACAGAAACACAATTTCAATGTTTTGTGTTGGAACAATAGAAGCGAGTGGGTCTCCTTCACCCCCGCTTTCCTGACAGCTTATGGGAATTTTCAGCCTCTGCATGCTCACTCTTTTTCTTTTGTGCTACATGATGGGCCCCTGTTACTCAATTACTAAAGGGTCCAAAATTAAAATGCCAATGAACAAAAGATCTGCGTTTCCAAGTTAATAACCCGGCATAGAACCACACCAGGGAGTCATGATGGCTCCTGGGCGGATGGTAGTGCAGGTGGCAATATTAATTATTTGGCAATAGTAAACGTTCACCCAGTGGATCGCTAAATAAGGGAGGGAAAGCTCTCAAAGCTGCAGTAAAACTAATTAAGAAATTGATATCTCTCTGAGGGAAAGTTGCAAGGCACGCTGGATAATATCAGACTCTGACAGCTTCGAAAATGAGCGCTGGGTGGCATATAAAAGCAATCATTGCAAAGAAAAGAGATGGAAATTAAACGTCCCACATTTAGCTATAAACGCCAGCATTGCTTATATTAACAAGCAATGACATGCTCCCCGGTGAGGGCTGACACTGTAACATGGAGGCCTACGCTTTTATTCTGTATAGTGAACATAATGTAGTTTCCTGACCAGATTTCTTGTTCTAATTATCTCTCTTTCAAAGAAACACACACTTCATTGCCGTCTTTTACGCAATATAGCGTCTAAGGTCTAATTAGCAGAACTGTGAGTGATGTTTTGCGTCTGTTCAGTTTCATCAGACAGCCTAGCTAATACAACGGCTCCGTGTTCCTGCCAGGCCCAAGAAACACAGATAAGAGTCCAGCAACAACAAACACCTTCCTCAGTCAATCTCAGGGCAAACAATAGCCAGAGAGGACGCAGAGTATACGGCCTGTCATCGGCCAGTGGCCACCAGCGGCAACAGAGCTTGTTGTCGTAGATTCCTGAACCGTGGAGGAATGTCTGGCTTCACTGCCAACCGCATACCTTCTCAATGTCTTTGATTTTCCCTGTTTTCTGTACCAGGCAGGTATTTTTCCAATGTTATCTCTCTTTGGCTGGTGCCATTTCAATAATGCTAGCTCCTGTGCTAACTCTTGAACAGAGTTTCTTACAGCAGCCTTTGCCTCAACTACATGTTTCAGCTAATGGCTAACTTGATAGCAAACCTACTTTTAGCTAGCAGATTAAAACAACGTTAGCATTCGTTTGGAGTGGTCCAATATTAAACCAATTTAAGCTCTGGTTTTGGTTTCCACCGATTCCTGCGTTTAAATATTCTGTTTTTCCGCTCAAAATAGCTACCTCTTGTGGCTGGAAATGCTACAATGAGGTTGGTAAGACTAAACCAAAACAGTACATTTGTTGGCCACGCCGTAAACATTGAAATAAATAATCTGCTCACTGGATATCGAGTTAGAACAAGCTCAGGAGATTTAGCTCCAGTAAATGTGTACTTGACTTCATTACTGAACTTCCTGCCAACTCAATGCACTCTAGATTTACATCTTCCTCCCTTGAAAATGTTCCTGTTGTGAAATGAGCGGTATGATTAACTGTCTATGAAAAAAAGACTTTGCTTTGAGCTCTTTGATCAGGTATTTATAACTCATTGTCTGGGTATTGATTTATGAAAATAAGTCATGGAACAGAGTGGAAAGGTAAGCCATATAAAGGATGATTCAAGGCCTTGGTGATTGAGGAAACAGATATGTTGCAGTATTGAATGTATTTAAATTAAAAACTTAAACGTTTGTTCCCTCCAGCCTATGGAAAGAAATGAAAGTCAAGAAATTCTCTTTCCAATACAAATGTTCAATGCAAAAATGTGTCACTGTATTCCATGCCTCTTTTGAGCCTCACATTTCAACATAGCCTACTTAAGATCTAATGACATCATGTCTTTCAA